GGGTGGGGGGGGGGGGGGGGGGGGGGGGGGGGGGAGGGTAGAAGGTATTCAGGGGATTTAGATGGTTAGAATGAGGTGGTTTTTCAATTTCAGACCCTCTCCACTGATGGTTTTCTCTACAGATTAGGCAGGGCGTGATCAGGGGATGGCTTTTGGCTAAGACTGTGGGATTGGGAACGAGATTAGTCTATAGAAAAAGTTTGCTCGCCTCGGAACAAGATCGACATTTCTTATTTCTTTGGCACCCTAACTATGACTTGAGACCATTTTTTCCAGACTCACTTAATTTCTTCTTTAGATCGCTTCACATGCTTGGGATCTACTCTGATGTAGCTTCTCAACAACAACAACATCATAAGGATTCCACATATCCGCTGTATTTCTCAGCAGACGACGGCTACTTCAATCCACTGATGGACTTTTCTATATATGAATTATTAACACCGGTGAGTTGAACAGATTCATCCCGGATGATTCTCTGTGCTCCAGAATTCTGTGGTACATTCGGAAGAAGTCCTAGTTTCCAGTTTTGAAGACGGTATGGTAAAAGACCATTTTCCGCTATACTTTCCCCATTCCTCTTAAATACGGGTCAAGAAAGCGTGAAGAGCAAAGATGTAGCGTCATACGCCCAATTCGGATTGTGGGACATGAAGGTGTTTTTTTAGTTCGTAGTTGCTCATTTGCTAAGAACTAGACCCATATTTTTTGAACAAGGTGTGTCTACAAAGAGCAAAGGGTGAGAAAAAAGATGACAGCTGTCAATGGTATCAAGTGCTCAACGATTTGGTTTAAGACGGCTGTAAATTAGGAGAGGGAATCCCTGAAACGCACGTGACCTCCTACAGTCCACCATTTATCGTGTGTTTGTCTTCGGTACTAAATCTATTTTCTGAAAATCTAATTTGATTGTAGGAACATCGTCTTCAGTTTCCTTCCATAATCTCTTCATTCTTCAGTGAAGAGGGAGAAGCTGATCGTCAGCAAGAATGTCATGCTGGTACTTTTATCACCACCATTCATCACATTATGCCTGTTGGTCCATTTAGCAGCTGTTCGTTGCCACCACTGAGTGAGTCAGTTTACAATTGATTCCAGCGCTTGTCATATGATATTCCAAAACAAATCTATCGCCCTTTCTGCGGACTTCCTTTCGACAGAATTTTCCGCTCATTATTCAATCATTCAGTCTTGTGTGCTGTCTTAGCGCCAGCCTCGCTATCCTTCCCCTCAACACTCAGAAAAATGTGGGAGAGATCCGATGCTATATATTTAGAATTTTCAGTTTAATCTTTTCATCTTTTTCCTTTGTATTACGGGGTAACATCCAGATGGCACTCTGTTAGGATTCCGATTTCAGGATCCGAGTTCAGGCGTTAATCTCACCGAGAATCTCCAAATCCTTGGTCTACTACTGATACTTCATACCAACCTGTTTGACTAGACCAACAGATTCCACAGTAAGAAATATAAGTCAGCACCGAATTCCGTTGATGCTTTCGGTGTTGTCGATTTGGTTGAGGCTTCAGGCTTACAGGATTCTTCTGGTTTTCAGGCTTCCAATGAGCAATATGCAGTTGCTTTCGATATTACTATTCACTCTACCTGCGTTGATTGAAGCCGAAACGATACCAAAGCATCTAAGGGACAGGTTGAGGAAGGCGACAAGTTTTTTGGTACGCAACTGCTAATTTCTAAACTATCAAACATATTCTCTTACTGCCTTGTATTCTCACGCTACTTCTGAGAAGCTCATTGTGGTCACTCTGGCCTGGGAGATATCAGTTCTTTCTTCTTTCGCTATCTCGCCTGCTGTTTCTTGTGAAAAAATCTAAAAAAAAGAAAAGAAAAAATCTTTCTGAATTGAAGTCATGAATTTGGTCAGTGATATCAACTACTCATAATGATAAACCTCTTGTTTAGGAAATAGCTGAGAGCGTCGAAATTCTCTACCATCCGCTTCACACAAACAGGCACATTCAGAAATCGTTCTCCACAGTGGGACGTGAGTGAATTCTCAACATTTCGTAAGCACATTAGAGTTATCTGGTATGGCACAGCGTTTTCCTTTGAACTTCATTGGTCTGAAACAACTGCAGCAGAGCCATGATACTTAGCCAAAAGTAGTGACATGCTCTGCCTTCAGTCGATAGTCGTCAGCTTTCATCGTGGCATGCTGTGACGTATATTTAAAGTGCTTGTAGAAAAGGTCCGAAATTAATAGAACTTTTGGCCAGGCCCAGTTTTACGCCACATGTCTTCGCCTCGTCTCCATTTGTTACTTTGATTGATTGCCTAACTATCGCAGACAGAATTTATGGATTTGTCTGCATCTGAGCTTCCTCCAGTAAGGCACTATATGCAAAAAAAGCTTGTTTATGGAGCAGAGCTCGTTAGAGGAGGTGGGGCTCTGTTATGTGAATCAAGCACCAACATTTTCACTCACACGTCTTTTTGATGTACTGGAAATTACTTTTCTTCTGCATTTATGGAATTTCTCCCTGTTTCCTCATCATGAATATGAGAAGGACATGTGGTGGAACCCAAGTTGAGTATTGTATGTGTGAGGTAGCCTGCTCATATATGCTCTGAAACGAGTCAGTAGGCATTAAAATTGTTCGCGAGGATAAAAACGTCTCATACACAGATTCACCTCAGCGAGTTTTTCTATGGGCTGCCTCCGCGTTGTAGGGAAATAGCCTTTCAAATGACATGTCACAGCCAGAGATGAGCCTTGCAGCTTTAGCCACAGTATTTCCCATATTCCTCCTCCTTTCAGCTCGTCAACCCATGCGACTTCAAGCGGCCAATTTCCTCAAAAGTTCTGCTTCGCGACATCGTGTTATGGCAGCTCAAGAGCCAATAACGACCAGCAATACTATGGACGGTGAGATCAAGTAGATTCGTTTGTTAATCATCTTCGAGTTCATATCTGATGAACCATAAGAGTACCTTCGAGTAGTGTCCGTAGCAGCTCACTTTACATTGATTCATGGCGTTGCCCTATGAGTGCTTCGGAAGAATGTTCGGATTCGGAACTTCCCCCCC